ATGCCATGTTTGGTTTCATTCCATTCAATGGTTCTCTTAAAGAAAACATTTGTATGTATTTCTCATAGGGTCCTATGTTAAACTAAGTCCTCCGCTGGCGGCCATCTTAGATTATGGATCGGCTTCACAGTAACAACACTTGGTCAGCACCTCATAAGGAACATTCATGCCATGTTTGGTTCCATTGCATTCAGTGGTTCTCTAAAAGAAGACATTTGTATGTATTTCCCATAGGCTCCTATGTTAAACTAAGTCTCCCGCTGGCGGCCATCTTGGATGATGGATCAGCTTCAAAGTAACAACACTTGGTCAGCACCTCATAAGGAACATTCATGCCACGTTTGGTTTCATTCCATTCAGTGGTTCTCTAAAAGAAGACGTTTGTATGTATTTCCAATAGGGTCCCATGTTAAACTAAGTCCCCCGCTGGCGGCCGTCTTGGATTATGGATCGGCTTCAAAATACCAACACTCGGTCAGTACCTCATAAGGAACATTCATGCCATGCTTGGTTTCATTTCATTCAGTGGTTCTCTAAAAGAAGACATTTGTATGTATTTCTCATAGGGTCCCATGTTAAACTAAGTCCCCTGCAGGCGGCCATCTTGGATTATGGATCGGCTTCAAAGTAACAACACTCGGTCAGCACCTCATAAGAAACATTCATGCCATGTTTGGTTTCATTCCATTCAGTGGTTCTCTAAAAGAAGACATTTGTATGTATTTCCCATAGGGTCCAATGATAAACTAAGTCCCCTGCTGGCGGCCATCTTGGATTATGGATCGGCTTCATAGTAACAACACTTGGTCAGCACCTCATAAGAAACATTCATGCCATGTTTGGTTTCATTCCATTCAGTGGTTCTCTAAAAGCAGACATTTGTATGTATTTCCCATAGGGTCCCATGTTAAACTAAGTCCCCCGATGGCGGCCATCTTGGATTATGGATCGGCTTCAAAGTAATAACACTCGGTCAGCACCTCATAAGGAACATTCATACCATGTTTGGTTTCATTCCATTCAGTGGTTCTCTAAAAGAAGACATTTGTATGTATTTCCCATAGGGTCCTATGTTAAACTAAGTCCCCCACTGGCGGCCATCTTGGATGATGGATCCGCTACAAAGTTACAACACTTGGTCAGCATCTCATAAGGTTCATTCATGCCATGTTTGGTTTCATTCCATTCAGTGGTTCTCTAGAAAAAGTTCAAAATGTAAAAAGTTAACGCCGACGACGGACGCCAAGTGATGAGAAAAGCTCACTTGGCCCTTCGGGCCATGTGAGCTAAAAAGAGGCAAAAGATACCAAAGGGACATTCAAACTCATAAGTCTAAAATAAACTGACAAGGCTATGGCTTAAAAAGAAAAAGACCAACAGACAAACAATAGTACACAAAACCCAACATAGAAAACTAAAGACTCAGCAAAACAAACCCACCAAAACTGGGGTAGATCTCAATTGCTTCGGAAAGGCAAGCAGATTCTGCTCCACGTGTGGCACCCGTTGTGTTGCTCATGTAAGTACAAACCCGGTAATAAGTCTAATTCGGTAGGTCACATTCGGGGAAAAAGGGACGGATTGTAGATATTAAGATAGAAGCCATATGAAAAATTGCTGATAAATGTTGACTAATGATTGAACTAACTTCTGTAATATATGTTTTTATTATAAATATGTATACCCAATATTCTTGATATATAACATTATAACTTCTTATAAAATCGTAATCAACATAAATGTTATATACTGCATAATGACCCCTAATCATAAATAGTCAGAAAATGATTTCAATATATTTTAAATTTAAAAAATAATATTCTTCGATCTGAAATATGAATATAAATATTTTACATTAAAAAATAATTTATTTCGATATGAAAACTAAATATAAATATTTTTCATTAAAATGTTATTTATTCCAATATGAAATCTAAATATAAATATCTAAATTATTAAAAACAATAATATTCGAATAAATGTCTCCTCTAAAGAAAATTATATATTTGAATATGCATCAAAGACACAATTTTTTATTGTCCACTTTTGCTATAATTAATAAAAATTCATTTACATTTGAGAACTATGTCAAATACATATAACTTTGATCCTTTGTCAAATTTTTATTTAAATGACGCACGATCGACTTTTAAAAAGAGCCAAATTAACTTGAACCAGACCGAGTTGGGGCTAAATCGACATGAAAGCAATTTTCCACATACTTAATTATTCACAAGGGGCATAACTCTTTTAAAAATAATTAATAGGCATAGATTTTAGAACTTTTCCGAAACATTGCTGATTTTAACCTACGATATACGTTTCATACAAATCTGGCAAGAATTGTACACATCAGAGCGCTAACAATGACATTTTCCATAAAATTAATATTTCCAAAGGCATAACGCTTTTAAAAAAAGTTGAAAAGCACTGATTTTCAAACTTGTACAAGACAGTGCCGATATAAACCTATGATATAAGTGTAATGAAAACCTGACAAATATTCAATGTCCCCTGCAAAATGTCGCTCGGGGGGGGGGGGACGAAAAAAAAAAAATGCAACTCAGTTTACAATATTTTCTGTCTATTTTTAGCTGCTGGTCGCTGACCTTTAACACGGGTTATTCACCTTTTCTCTTTGTTTCATTGTTGAACTTTTCAATTGTAAACCAATGAAGGAATTTTTTATTATCTTAAAGATATTCTGAAATAATAGTCACCTTCAAGATTGACCTAATTAGCCCAAAATCAATAGGCTTCCTTTCCTACCATACATATTTATCAGTAAGTTTTTCGATCAGAGAAGCAGCAAAAGTATAATTTGTCTTTGGTCAACTGAGGTTAAGCGCTTAATTCTTTCTAAAACATGTAGTCAGAATTAAAAGATATCTTTACTTTTTACAATAATACTGCATACACATTTACAAAAATAGCACATAATATTTACAACAATAGCACATAATATTTACAACAATAGCACATACCTGTTTTCAACAATAGCACACACATATTCACAAGAATAGCACATACATATTTACATCAAGAGCATATATATATTTACAACAATAGCACATACATATTTACAACAATAGTATATATATATAGATATATTACATGTATACATATTGCAACAGAAAGACATCCCTATAAAATAGCATATCGTTTTGTAATGGTAAAAGCATATATTATATAAACTGTTATCACAGAGATATGTCTGGCCTTTTTGTAATTTTGATAATGCAAATGTTGAAATTAAAATAGCAATACTTTAACATTTAAGTTATGCAAATATTCAAAGTCGATGAACAAGGTACATGGCTAAACAATCTCCATGGAATGAGATGTGCCAATGCTAATACAACTGCATACCAAATACCATTGACTTATTATAAGTCGTTCCCTTTAAACAAACCTAAACACAAACATTAAAAGTTTCAAAGTCAATGAACCATGATCAGGGGCGGGGCTATATAATCTCAATGCAAAACGATACTTGCAAATGCCAATAAATTTGCATACCAAATATCATTGACTTAACATTAGCAGTTCATCTTAAACTGATCTAATCACAAACTAATACATGTAAACTAAGCAAAAGCTTCAAAGTCAATAGACCATGACTGAGGGGGCGGGGCAAAATATTCTCCATGGAAATGAGATGTGCTAATGCTTATACAACTGAACACCAATTAACATTGGCCTACCACTAATGGTTCCCCTTGAACTGACCTAATCACAAACTAATACATGTTAACTTAGCAAAATTTTCAAATAAAATTGAGAATGGAAATGGGGAATGTGTCAAAGAGACAACAACCCGACCATAGAACAGACAACAGCAGAAGGTCACCAACAGGTCTTCAATGCAGCGATAAAGTCTATAGACCATGACTAAGGGGGCGGAGCCAAATAATCTCCATGGAAATGAGATATGCCAATGCTTATACAACTGCATACCAAATATCATTGACCTACCACTAGTGGTTCCCCATAAATTGACCTTAATTATCACAAACTAATACATGTAAACTATGAAAAGTTTCAAAGTCAATAGACCTTGACTGAGGGGGCAGGGCCAAATAATCTCCATGGTAATAAGATGTGCATATGCTAATTCAACTGCATACCAAATATCATTGACCTACCACTAGTGGTTCACCATGAACTAGACCTAATCACAAACTAATACATTGTTGACGCTGTCACCGACGCCGGAAACAGCATACCTATGTCTCGCTGTTTGACTCCGTCAAGGTGAGACAAAAACTGCATCATAGCTTTATCTAATAAGAGTAAATCAGTAAATAGTAGAATATTGCTTAAATCTTAGTATCAGATTATTTCACATTTAAAAACAGTATCATATCGCTTTACAATGTCAGAATACATCTTAACAACAGTAGCATATAACTTTATAATGTCAAAATACCATATATAAAACTATTTTCATCCTAAAGTTGATATACCATTAAAACATGGACATATCACAAGAATGTGCATTGAGATCTCTGTTTTCAAAATGTTAATAGTGTGTTTTATTGCAGGAACAGCAAATATTTGTCTTCACCTAGAGTGTTTCAATTCAAAAGAACTGCCATATCTGTTGTTATAGATCATGGTAAAATATTTAGCAATTCAAGCCCCCATGAATTATTACTTAATTCCAACAGAAACACAGTCCTGTAAATATACATTGCTTTGTGATTATCAGATGTTTTTGTATCACACATATATAAATAGATCTTTATAAACTAATTACATACTGGACTTTTCCTTTATCAAAGCGACTATACCATTATACTTTTTTTTCTTGGCCATCTTTACGGGTGACATACCATTAGAGTCACGAATATTATAGTCTGCTCCTCTGTCTAATAACATCTTTACTATTTCTGTATGACCATGTTCACAAGATACTTTTACAGGTGACTGCCCCCAGCTGTCACATTTATCACAGTCTGCTCCTCTGTCTAATAATATCTTTACTACTTCTGTATGACCATGTTTACAAGCCTTCATTAAAAGTGACTCATGAAACCAGTTAAATGTATTACAGTCTGCTCCTCTGTCTAATAAAATCTTTACTATTTCCATATGACCATGTTCACAAGCCACCTCCAAGCTGTAACATTCATTACAGTCCGCCTCTCTGTCTAATAACATTTTTACTATTTCTGTATGGCCATGTTCACAAGCCATCACTACAGGTGACTTATCTTTTTCATCACATTCATTACAGTCTGCACCTCTGTCTAATAACATATCTACCATTTCTTTTTGACCATGTTTACAAGCCTTCATTACAAGTGACTCACCATCCCAGTCACATTTATTATAGTCTGCTCCTCTGTCTAATAACATCTTTACTATTTCTGTATGACCATGTTCACAAGCCATGTCTATAGGTGACTGCCCCCAGGTGTCACATTTATCACTGTCCACTCCTCTATCTAACAACATCTTTACTATTTCTGTATGACCTTGTTCACAAGCTTTCATTACAGGTGATTGACCCTTCTTGTCACATTTATTACAGTCTGCTCCTCTGTCTAACAACATCTTTACTATTTCTGTATGACCTTGTTCAAAAGCTTTCATTACTGGTGACTGACCCTTCTTGTCACATTTATTACAGTCTGCTCCTCTGTCTAGCAACATCTTTATTATTTCTGTATGACCTTGTTTACAAGCTTTCATTACAGGTGACTGACCACTCTTGTTACATTTATTATAATCTGCTCCTCTGTCTAACAACATTGTTAATATTTCTGTCCGACCATTTTCACACGCCATCGTTAAAGTTGATTGTCCCAAGCTGTCACATGTATTACAGTCTGCTCCTCTGTCTAACAACATCTTTACTATATCTGTATGACCTTGTTCACAAGCTTTCATTACAGGTGACTTACCCCTCACGTCACATTTATTACAGTCTTCTCCTCTGTCTAACAACACCTTTGTTATTTCTATATGACCTTCTTCACAAGCTTTCATTAACGTTGACTGTTCCTGGCTATAACAATTATCACAATGTCCTCTGTCTAATGACATCTTTCCTTTTTCTGTTAGACCATGTTCATAAGCCTTCATTTCAGTTGGCTGACCATTTTCATCACATTTATAACAGTCTGATCCTCTGTCTAACAACATCTCTACTATTTCCGTATGACTCTGTTCACACGCCCTCATTACAGGTGACTTCTCATATTCATCACATTTGTTACAGTCAACTCCTCTGTCTAACAAAATCTTTACTATTTCCGTATGACCTTGTTCACAAGCTTTCATTACAGGTGACTGACCCCTCCAGTCACATTTATTACAATCTACTCCTCTGTCTAACAAAATCTTTACTATTTCTGTATGACCTTGTTCACAAGCTTTCATTACAGGTGACTGACCCCTCCAGTCACATTTATTACAGTCTACTCCTCTGTCTAATAGCATTTTAACCACTTCTTTATGACCTTGTTCACACCCAATCATGATGGGTGACTGGCCATTATGGGAACACCTGTTTACATCAACACCATGATTACAACACCACTCTATCAAAGATATATCTCCTATATAACAATAATGTAATAAAGCAGTATCATAGGTATCATCCTCAACTTCAACCCTCACATAAAAAGGTTGATTATATGGTTTATCAAAGATATTTGCCAGCTGTCTCTGGTGAGATACATTCAGGGTTTTCAGATAGGAGAGAAGTTTCTGTCTGAACTGAGGTATCTTCATATTGATGTTATCAAATACATCTTCTACTTTTCCCTTTGACCAGTCATCAATCATTCTCTGTATGTACAGGTGATGATACTTTAGTGGTATAATAGTAATAAACTTGTCCATGTCCTCCTTTCTTTCTAATAAAAATCGTTCCTTGATCAAACCAATGTCTGCGTTCTTTATCAAGCAAGGGATTATTTTGCATCCAAAGTAGTAAGCTAAAAAGTCAAATATTTTATCATGTATAGTCCTGTAAACGTTTCGTTCTTTTTTTATGAATGTATTTGTAAGTGAGTTTAGTTCATTTTGTAAAACAAGTCTAGATGTTCCTCTATCTAATTGACATGACTCACACGTGTTCTCGATGATAGTTTTGGCTACTTCATTCACTTCTCCTGTCAAGATTTCTTCATTCAACTCGTTGTTAAACATGACACATAAAGCCAAAGCACAGTATTTAGTGTGATACCCTTTCTTCAGTAGCTTGTCAATCTCTACTTCATAAACTGAAAATGGATTCTGGAAAAAATCTGAAACATTAAGTTTAGGACTATCATGGTACAATTGACATAAAAGTGGAAAACAGTCATATAAATTATAATAGTCAACAATCTCAGAGGCTTTTGCTTTGAGATACAACCTAGCTATTGAATGCTTTTCGGTTGTTGACAAACAAATGCTTTCTGATAACATGTTACATACACATGACTTGAAAACTGATAAAGAATCAAACTGTTCATCTTGGTACACTTGTAACTGACAAGCTGTGAGTATTTTTGTATGTTTTTGATCAAGAATCTGCTTTATATCCTCCATAACTGGTTCCCAACTTTTAATGTCACTCTTGTCAACTGAAAAGTTTACACATAAATCATCAATAACAAACAATGTTTTCTGATTTGGATTGTTAAACCTAACAATGTCACTTGGCTCTGTCACAAGAAGAACATCGTACCCCTCTTCTGCCAATTGTAGAGCTGTATGTCGAAGAGTGGATGTTTTTCCCACACCAAAACTAGCAGTAATAGCAACACAACTGTTTTCCTGTATACATTTGAATACATGCTGGGCAGCTCTTGTGTTTATGAACATCTCTTCATCATGGTCCTTCCAGGCTTTAAGTGTATTGTTAATTCTAACTGAAATAAAAAAAAATTGAGGAATATTTCATCATAACTGACAAAGAAATGTCCAGATACAATAGATAGTCATTGCATTACATAATTGGTCTCTATAGTACAGATTTGATATAGTATTGAGGAACTACAGTTTGGTGTAAATTATGCCCTTTGGCCCCTTAAATATATAATACTGTGAAAGCACTTTTATTCGTGGGTATCAATTTTCGTGGTTTGAGCAAAAGTTACATGTTCGTGTGTTCTTAAATTCGTGGATTTTAGTTTTCTGAAAAACAAAATTGAGTGCAGAATTTGAAGCCCTCAGAAACGAAGATTCTAGAAACTTTTAATGATTTCGGAAATAAGCTGATTCATCAATGCTTACAAATTGTCTAAAATTGCAGGACATTGCAAAATAAACATTTGACTTGGATGGAGAGTTGTCTCATTGGCACTCATACCACATCTTCTTATATCTATTGTAATTGTTGCAAACATGTAATCAGAAGTGATGACACTAATTAACCCGAGATCGAAAGATCAACAGATTAGCGATCATCAAAGGTGTAAATTGGGCAACAAATATGTCAACTAAAAAAAACAGTTTCTTAAAATGTGCTACAAATGTACTTTGAATTGTAGAATTAATTCTTATGAAATAAATAGCAAACTGAATATGAAATTATTATTATTTTTTTCAATTATGATCACTTCAAAAGATTGAATCAGTAAAATCCTGTCTGAAGTTGTATATACATATGTTTAAAGTACATTGTGCGCTTACTGATATTCGATGAATTCTCTTAATTATATGGCAGTATCCATGTATATATATATATATTAGAGGGGAGAACAAAAATTTGCTTCCGCAAATTTGCAGATTTAACATTGTTGTGCTGATATTTAGAGTAATTATGTATATATATATATATAGAATTCTATAAAAAGGACCAACCAGCAAATTTACTATGTACCGGATCGTCTAGAATAGACGATACTGTGCAGATAAGGAAAAAAATTATATAAGTCTAGAGATTTGCACAACGATACTAATATAAGATGGTATTATACGAAGATGTTGTTAATAAATCGTGTTGACAAATATTTCGGCTTAACAAATAGCCTTCTTCAGTGTCAATTATTTTAACAATACTGATTATATGTATAAAAATAGCTCAATAATACAGGTAAGTTTTGGTCTATTGATTTAATCCAAAATCCTGAACATCATAATATAAAACAAAACTCAATACTCAAATATACGTGACTGTGTATATTTACATCCCAAAATGAGTGAAAAATAAAACTTAGTATTTTTCATTGATGCCGTTTGGATGATGTACATTTAGTTCCTTTATCCAAAAGCTTTCCCGAACCTGTCGCTGGGCATCACTCAAGTGAATGTTCTGTTCAATCACTAGGATCTTCATGCGGTTAAAGTCATCAAGTGTGTGACCAGACTGTCTGAAATGCTGAGAAACTGGGAGAAGTGGCTTCTTAGAGATATCACTCCTATGGCCATTGAGGCGTTTGTGGAAAGGCTGCTTTATATATATATATAAAGTCTCTGATTGATTGTATAATAAAAACTATAACACAATTTTCCATACGTTTCGGCCATTTTGGCCTTCTTCATTGGAATAAATTACAACATCGAAACAACAATTACATCGCTTGGATACATTACGTTATAATTACTACTATGACGTTCATTTGCCCCGTTTTTTCTCTATAAATATTTTCACTATGGTTCATACATTGTGTTGAGTCCATCAGGCTCTAAAGTTTTTAATTTTTTTTATCCAAAAGGCTTCTTTAGTTCTTCTGTAAATTTCTGTTCCAAATATTCTTTCTATTGCGGTGACTTTTAAATTTTTCATCGAATGATTATGTTGAATGAAGTGGTTTGCTACTGGATCGTCTGTTTTGTGTGTTCTAATTTTTGAAAAGTTTAAAAGCATCCGTTGATATAGTGTATCACCTGTTTGTCCTACATATATAAGTTTTTCGCATTTAGTACAGTAAATTGCATATACTACGCCCATGGATTTACAGTTTATTTGTCCCTGAATGGTATATTCTTTTCCGGTGTTATCACAAAATACCTTGGTCTCATTAATGTGTGAGCATAATGCACAATTTTTTCCGCATGGTCCACAGCCATTAGTTTGTTTATAAAATAATAAATTGTGCTTCTTGTGCTGGTTACCATGTTTCAGTTAAATCGATTTATGACAAAAATTGGTACCCCACGAATAAAAATACTTTCACAGTATTATAAAGTTATTAAATAAAACTATTCATATATTACATATATATAAACAAACAAATTGATAACAACTGTCATATTCCTGACTTGGTACAGGCATTTTCTTATGTAGAAAATGGTGGATTAATAGTCCGTTTCTATGTATGTTGGTGTTTGTTTTTGCAGCAGTTCAGTGTTTATGTTGTTCCCTTGTTTTCCTCTTATAGTTGATGTGTTTCCCTCGGTTTTGGTTTATGACCCGGATTTGTTTCAGTTAAATCGATATATGCATAAATCTATTTATCTGAAACAAATCCGGGTCACAAACAGCAATAGTCATAAATCGATTTAACTGAAACAAACCCTGGTCACAAACCAAAACCGAGGGAAACACATCAACTATAAGAGGAAAAAAAAGGGAACTGAAGACACTGAACTGCTGCAAAAACAAATGCCAACATACAAAGAAACGGACTATCAATCCACCATTTTCTACATAAGAAAATGCCTGTACCAAGTCAGGAATATGACAGTTGTTATCAATTTGTTTGATGTGTTTGAGCTTTTGATTTTGCCATTTGCTTAGGGACTTTCCGTTTAGAATTTTCCTCAGAGTTCGGTATTTTTGTTATTTTACTTTTTGATAACAACTGCCATATTCCTGACTTGGTACAGGACATTTTAAGAAAAAAATATTGGTTGAACCTGGTTTTATGGTTAGCCAAACCTCCCGCTTATATGGCAATATACCGCTAAAATGACAACACTACGTGACAGGAATACATAACAACTAAACGCAAGAACACTCAGAACAGAGACATACATAAATAAATAATATTATAGTGCATTACAACATGTAAACCACAGAATAACAATGGACACCTCTCGTTCAAAACTATACGGAGACCTTTCCATGTCTTGATTTAGACAACAGATGTTATATTTCGTTGGACACTTAAATTCGAGGATAAAACCATCCACGAAAACCACAAATATTGGTACCCCACGAATAAAAATACTTTCACAGTATTATAAAGTTATTAAATAAAACTATTAATGTTTGCAGAAGATGAAAATGGTAACCCCTTTGCAGTGCAACCTAATGATGCCATACCCAGAGATGTAATAGTAGAAAATTAATCAATTGCAAGATGAAGGATTGTCCTTTCAAGACAGCATTGCAAATTTTCTGAGAAGATTATTTCCAGAAGGTTATGAACCATATCTGTTCCGTAAAGACACACCAGAGTCGTATTTGGACATGCTAAGAAATATAGAGACCTAGTTCAAAAACTAAAACAAGAGGGTAGAGACTTTACATACTATCTGTATATACCTGAAGAGGATCCAGCAAAAAAACAATATTCATTATGAAAGAGGTGACCATAACCAGATTTTGAAGTGAATAGCAACATCCACTAGAGAGTGTAATAAACAGCTGCGCCATGAGCGCATGATACGCCCGTCGTCTTGTGTGTGAATTTTTATGCAATAAGCATAAATAGTTTCTGACATACGGCGTGACATGGGAAAACCCCCCTTTTTTTTTTACAAAAAACTCAATATCTATAAAATAAAATTTTAAATCAAAACCAAAAAGTATACAGATCTTTAGATTAATATAACTAAGAAGTGTGTAAAATTTTAAGCAATAATCATAAATCGTTTTTGAGATACGGCGAGACATGTGAAAACACCCCTTTTAAAAAAAAAAATCAATATCTCAAAAATAACATTTTGAATCAAAACCAAAAAGTATACAGATCTTTAGATTAATATAACTAAGAAGTGTGTAAAATTTTAAGCAATAATCATAAATCATTTTTGAGATATGGCGCGACATGTGAAAAACCCCTCCCCCTTTTTTTACAAAATACTCAATAACTCAAAAATAAAATTTTGAATCAAAACCAAAAAGTATACAGATCTTAAGGTTAATATAACTAAGAAGTGTGTAAAGTTTTAAACAATAATCATAAACTGTTTTTGAGATACGGCGCGACATGTGAAAAACCCCTCCCCCTTTTTAACAAAATACTCAATAACTCAAAAATAAAATTTTGAATCATCACCAAAAAGTATACAGATCTTAAGATTAATATAACTAAGAAGTGTGTAAAGTTTTAAGCAATAATCATAAATTGTTTTTGAGATACGGCGCGACATGTGAAAAAAAAACACACACCTGTTTTAGTTACTAAGTCCCGTAACTCAAAAAGTTTTAATCTTATTTTCACCAAAATGTATACAGATCGTTTGACCATCATAAGAAACAACTATGTTAAGTTTCATGAAATTTGGATAAGTCATTCTCAAGTTACGGTGCGACATGTTTATGCCAGACAGACAGACGGACGGACAGACGGACAGACAGACGGACGGACGCCGGACATTTGTATAACATAATACGTCCCGTCAAAAATTTGACGGGCGTATAAAAATGCATCGCTGGTTTCTGAAGCTTTTGACAAAGTAATATTGAATAAAAACACTAGCTTGACTCATACAGCCCTTACTGGTCAAAGACCGCAGTCTGTTGAGGATGCAGAAAAAATATTATTATCATATCAAGTTGCAGTTAGCATGGAACAAAATAACTTTGACGAAGAAGCAGAATATGTTCGTTCCATTGCTGGATGGCATGAAGCATCAGATGGACGTGGCCTAAGTCAATTCCAAAGATCAAAGTATAACTATCAGATGCTGAACTACATCATTGACAATTTCATTCCATGGCACAGAGAGAATTACAACTTCATGTATATAGATATCAACAGGTACTTATATATTTGAAATTAATAATGGATAGTGTGTTGAACTTGATACCATGATAAAAAAGCATTCTGAGAGTATTGCATGGCAATACATAGTCCCCTACCGGTTGAAAATTCATTGTACTGGAACAAAATGCTAACTTGATTTTTAACTTGTCATGGTGTAAACTATATAGCAAATATCAAGTCAATATCTTCAAGCATGACGAAAAAAAGTGTGGAAAACTGATTATTTAAGGTAGATCATCGGTATATATTTTTTGAGATAGAATTTTCTTATACTTTGCCAAAATGAAGATTTTAATATGCTTTTTTCAAAAATGTAATAAAAAGTATGGGTCACCGTGCTATTTTTCAAGCTATGAGTCGTTGAAAGTTGCCTAAATCTGGTTAGATTGTTCATGAAAAAAAACATTTGTATGCATAAAAAGAAATCTATGATATAGGATTTTGAAATAAATAGTGAGAAGATAGGTTTTATAACATGTTTTAAGAAAATAAAAAGAAAAAATGGTGTCACCGAACTTGTTTTCTTGCTACAAGTAAAAATAAAAAATTTCCCTATCAAGCCAGTGTAATTTTTTACTAAAAGAGTTATCTCCCCTTAAATGGCTTAGTTGAAAAAAATGATTCCAAAACACAAAATTTAATATATGTTGGAATATTTTGAATAATACAATAAATCACCAAGTTTTCTTTAAATAAATAAACAGTGTGACAAATAAATTGCAAATCTGTCTCCTAATTTGCAGATTTGGGCAAATAACTAGACCGATTGTGTACTGCGATTGTACAATCCAAGATGGCGGTATACCATGAATCTACCTTAAGTGAATTTTTGAAGTCCAAGGACCATAACTCTGCACAAAATCATCAGACCGGTACAAAATTCGAACTTGATCTGTAACTTGCCATGATAAAACTATATACCAATTATCAAATCAATATCTTCAAGCATGACGAAAAAAAGTGTGGAAAACTGATTATTTAAGTGAATTTTTCGAAATCCAAGGAATATAACTCTGCACAAAATGATCAGACCGGAACAAAATTCGAACTTGATCTGTAACTTGTCATGATAAAACTATATATCAATTATCAAATCAATATCTTCAAGCATGCAGAAAAAAGTGCGGAAAACAGATTATTTGAGTGAATTTTCTAAGTCCAAGGACTATAACTCTGCACAAAATCATCAGAACGGAACAAAATTCAACCTGATCTGTAACTTGTCATGATAAAACAATACATTAAATATCAAATCAATATCTTCAAGCACGAAAAAAAAAGTGTGGGAAACTGATTTGCCGGACTGACGGATGGACAGACAGACAGACAGACAGACAGACAGAGAGACAGACAGACAGACAGACGGATTGCAAACCTAAAGTCCCCTTCGACTTCGTCAGTAGGGGACTAAAAAGAAGTAACATTACCATTAAAACAGACTGACTGCAATTTGATCTTAAGCACAAAGTATATTGTGCAACTATTTAAGCGAAAAAAGTAGCATCTCAGTAATGGCAATATTCAGAATGATATTACAGAAGGTGCTTATGTAAATGAATGTTATTTATGGGTCTATATGACATGCTATCTGGGTCCTACCAATTACACAACTTGTTTCGAAAAATGAATATTAACAAGAGGCTAATGAGAGCCTGATATCGCTCACCAGTCTGTAAGATCAGTTTCTGGCACTTGACTTATTTGTAGATCTTACTGTGCTGAACAATTTTGTCATTTACACTTTCTCTCTTTCTATAATAGTATTAAAGATAATACATAACCCAAAACTGTAAAATTTTCTAAAAATTAACTATTTCTGGACAGTAACCCAACAATAAGTTGTCCTATTGGTTTGAAGATTACTTGACAGGTAGATCTAAACCTGTTTAACACTTTCACCTATGTCAGCTTTGCTCTTACTGCTTTAGTTTTTGAGATGAAAGCCAAAAACTTCATTTGCCCCTATGTTCGATTTTTAGAAACTGCCACCCTGTTTATGAATGGATATAATCCCCGAATACAATCTATAAACTAGATACCCTAAGGAACATTCAATTCAAATTTTTAAGTATTTGGCAAAGTAGTTTCAGAGAAGAAGATTTTTGAAAAAGTAATTGGACTTCCACAAAAAATGTAAAAAAAAAAACGTTTTAAGGGTAATAACTCCTCAAGGGGTCAATTGACTATTTTGATCATGTTGACTTATTTGTATTTCTTACTTAGCTGAACAATTATTGCCATTTATACTTTCTCTCTATCTATTATAATATTAAAGAAAATAACCAAAAACAGTAAAATTTAATAAAATCAACTATTTCCAACAGTAGCCCAAAAATGGGTTGTCCAACTCGTCTGAAAATTTCATAACAGATAGATCATGACAACCCATTTATCACTTTAACTCTCTTTCACTTTTGCTCTAACTGCTGTAGTTTTTGAGATATAAGCCAAAAACTGATTTTGTCCCCTATGTTCTATCTTTTGCCATGACGGCCATGTTTGTTGATGGATCAAAACTTCGGATACAATTTATAAACTAGATACCATAAGGAACATTCAGTTAAAGTTTGGAAGTATTTGGCCTAGTAGTTTCAGAGAAGAAGATTTTTGAAAAAGTAATAGACTTGCATGAAAAAATGTAAAAAATAAACATTTCAAGGGCAAGTCTATTACTTAAGGAGTCAATTGACTATTTTGATCATTTGACTTATTTGTAGATCTCACTTAGCTAACATTTTTGACATTTATACTTTCTCTCTATCTATTATAATATTAAGGATAATAACCAAAAACAGTAAAATTTTATAAAAATATACTATTTCGGACAGTAACCCTACAATGGGTGGTCCAATTGGTCTGAAAATTTCATAGCAGATAGATCTTGACTTATTCATCACTTTAACTCCTTGTCACTTTTGCTCTAACTGCTATCGTTTTTGAGATAAAAGCCAAAAACTGCATTTGACCCCTATGATCTATTTTTAGCCATGGCAGCCAAGTTTATTAATGGATCAAAACTTCGGATATAATTTATAAACCAGTTACCCTAAGGAACATTCAGTTAAAGTTTAAAAGTATTAGGCCCAGTAGTTTCAGGGGAGAAGATTTTTAAATGTTAGCAAACATGATGAACAAATTGTGTAAAATTGTCTTTAAAGGGCAATAACTCCTTAAGGGGTCAATTGACAATTTTGGTCATAGAAACTTTTTTTTAGATCTTACTTAACTGAACATTTTTTACAGTTTATCTTTATCTTCAATAATATTCAAGATAACCAAAAACTGCAAAATTTCCTTAAAATTACCAATTTAGTGGCAGCAACCCAACAATGGGTTGTTCCATTCGTCTGAAAATTTCAGGGCTGATAGATCTTGGCTTATTGAACATTTTTACCCCATGTCAGATTTGCTCTAAATGCTTTAGTTTTTGAGATATGAGCCAAAAACTGCATTTGACCCCTATGATCTATTTTTAGCCATGGCAGCCAAGTTTATTAATGGATCAAAACTTCGGATATAATTTATAAACCAGTTACCCTAAGGAACATTCAGTTAAAGTTTAAAAGTATTAGGCCCAGTAGTTTCAGGGTAGAAGATTTTTAAATGTTAGCAAACATGATGAACAAATTGTGTAAAATTGTCTTTAAAGGGCAATAACTCCTTAAGGGGTCAATTGACAATTTTGGTCATAGAAACTTTTTTTTAGATCTTACTTAACTGAACATTTTTTACAGTTTATCTTTATCTTCAATAATATTCAAGATAACCAAAAACTGCAAAATTTCCTTAAAATTACCAATTTAGTGGCAGCAACCCAACAATGGGTTGTTCCATTCGTCTGAAAATTTCAGGGCTGATAGATCTTGGCTTATTGAACATTTTTACCCCATGTCAGATTTGCTCTAAATGCTTTAGTTTTTGAGATATGAGCCAAAAACTGCATTTGACCCCTATGTTCTATTTTTAGCCATGGCGGCCATGTTTGTTGATGGATCAAAACTTCGGATACATTTTATAAACTAGATACACTAAGGAACATTCAGTTAAAGTTTGAAGGTATTTGGCCCAGTAGTTTCAGAGGGGAAGATTGTTGAAATAGTTTACAACGACGACAGACGACGGACGCCAAGTGATGGCATAAGCTCACATGGGGCCTGAAGGGCCCCGGTAAGCTAAAACTGCATTCACATAGATGTAGTATTGTAATTTCATTCATTCATAAATATTTATATAGTTCAAGAGTTCATGAACGTGTTTTGTTGATAGACATAGCAGATAAGGGCGCGTCGTTTCGCAATATGTATTTGTGTTGATTAGTTAGCTCGAGCATTATATTAAAGGATGTTAACCAGTACACATGGCTTGTCTCTTAGTTAATATATATAGGCTACCAACGTTACATTGGCGACGAGGATAAAAGAGTTGGAAATGGAGAAAAATGTATTTTATGGATTTATTAATTAGTGACACTGATAATTAAACCATGGCTGCATCTTTACCAATTTTTCCGAGTTTTCCGGTACATGAGAACAATGCTGAAATAAGGTGGCGTAAATGGATAAGTAGACAAGAAAATTTATTCATCGGTTTAAACATAAAGGATAGCAAAAGACAAAGAGTACTATTGTTGCATTACGCTGGAGAAGATGTAAACGAAGTCTTTGATACCCTTGACAATACAGGAGAAGACTTTGCTGCCGCTAAACACAAGTTAACAGATTACTTTGCTCCCAAGAAGAATACAGAATACGAAATTTACAAATTTAGGCAAGCCAAACAGACATCTGATGAAACTATCGACAGTTTTCACACAAGATTACGCCAGCTAGCTGTAAACTGTGAATTTACTGAAACATCTAAAGAAGTGAAATCGCAAATAATCCAAGGTTGTCATTCAACGAGACTAAGACGAAAGGCTCTCCAGGAAGACACGACCCTTGAAGGATTAATTTCATCAGCTAGAGCATTAGAACTTTCTGAAAAACAGGCAACGGAAATTGAACAATCAGACAAACAATCCGCAAATGCTGTGAGAAAAGGAGGTGGAAAACGTCGCAACGGACCACGATTTCTATAGACACAAATGGACCAAAAGAAAAAGACTACTTGCAGAAACTGTGGAGGTGAATTTCTGCATGCAAATAAGTGTCCAGCATTTGGAAAAATTTGTAACTCTTGTAAAAAGATGAATCATATCGCCGCTGTATGCAGATCCAAACGTGATGGAACTAACACTTACAAAAGAAAAGTCAATAAAGTTGAAAATTATGAATATGATGATGCTCATGACAGCAGTTCGGATGATGGATACATATTCGGATTAAGAGAAAATACTGTGAACAAAGTACAGAAAGGACAACCGAAAA